CCATTGCATTACTAGGGTTGCTAAAGGACAGCTAGTGAGCAATATATTGTCTACATTGAACTGTTCACTTAGAATACTTTATATTATTTGATTTTTAGGAAACAGATTCCTAAAAGAAAGAAATTTGGATCAGAGAAGAAGTGTTCAAGGACCATGCAAGCCAACTGTAGCCAACTGCATAGTCCTCCAGGCACTGCAGGCAATGAGGGTGTCTCAGCCTCCCAATGTGCTCACACAGCAAGAGTGACTGGAGAAGGACCTTGCCTCCGTGCCGGAGATGTTCATATCCAGATAAACTCCACACCTAAAGAATATGCTGACAATTCAAGCTCCAGGAATATAAGGCCAGGTGTCCACAGCTGCACGCATGGATGTGTACAGGGTCACCCACACAATGAAGCAAGGCAACCAGAGGATACAGCTGCCACAGAGTCTGGGGAACATGGCAGCAACTCCTTCTCAGAGTTCCGTTATCTCTTCAAGTGGTTGCAAAAAAGTCTTCCATATATTTTGATTCTGAGTGTCAAACTTGTTATGCAACATATTACAGGTAGGGCATAAAGAATATTAAATATTAAATTGTTCTATTTTATTCCCCCCTTTTTGTAATCTACTTTATGTATTTCATTTACTTATTTTCTGTTAGATTTTAAAACAATATGCTTTTATTAGATTACATATTCTTCTTTGACTTTTTTTTTCCTCAATTAACTGAAACTTATTTTCTAACAGGAATTTCTCTTGGAATTGGGCTGCTAACAACTTTTATGTATGCAAACAAAAGCATTGTAAATCAGGTTTTTCTAAGAGTAAGTATAATCAACCAAAAAAACTGTTAACTGTTTCTCATTGTGAATTACATACTCATTTTTGAGGGAAATTGAAAATAAGAGTTTGACAACATTTTTAAAATTATCTAAAATTGATCTGTCTTATTAGATTGCTTCCCATATTTTACTTATATGTTTGGCTCCTGATAGCTAAAGGAAAACTTGAAAAGACTCAGAAGTTTAAAACACACTGTTTATTCTGATTTGGCAAGGGTTTCATGTTTTATGAATCAGTTTGACCACACTAAAAACTAACCAAATCGACTGTCTTCAAGTGGATTCCAACTCAACAACCCTGCAGCACAGCGTGGAGCTGCTCCATAGGGTTTCTAGGCGGCTGTCGTTAAACTTACAGTGATCCTCTGTGCTGGAAGCTATGGCATCAGTATTTCAACCACCAGCCAGGTCACCCAAAGTGAACAGTGTTCAGCAGAGCTTCTAATTCTAAGAACAGATTACTGAGAAATAGGATGTCCACTTTTGAGAAATTAGCCACTGGATAACCTTAGCCTTATGGATAACATCTAAACGAAAGCCTCTGAGGCTGTCAATCTGGACAAACGCCACCTCCTCTTTCTGTGAAGTGACTGGAGTGCTTCGTTCCAGCTCCAAACTCTGCGTTAGCACCCTAACACTTTACCCATGGTACCGCCACGGCTCCATCTATCACACTAAGCATTCGAAAAGAGCCGTGATGGCACAGTGGTTTAAGCATTAAAAGTAAAAGGTAAGCTGTCCCATGGGCTGCTTCCTTAAGGATTTTCAGCTTTGGAAACTGTCCCCAGTGGGGACAGTTCTACTTAGTGCTATAGAATCACAATGAGCGGGATCTACTTCATGTCACACAACAAAAAAATAACGGGCTCATATAAAACCCCATTATTGTTTAATGAATCTCTACTTTGGTGCTACAGAGTAGAACTGCTCCATAGGGTTTTCTTGGGCTGTAATCTTTATGGAAACAAAGTGACAAGCTTTTCTTCCACAGAGCTGCTGAGTAGCTTCAATCAACCAACCTTTCAGGCAGCTGAGCACAAACCACTTGAGCTACCCAGGGACCCACCTATTAATATAATCAGCATAAAAAACTTTAGCTGTTGCACTATAAAACAAAACAAAAAACCCACTACCATCTAGTTTATTCCAACTCGTAGTGGCCCTTAGGACATAGAACTGCCCCACAAAGTATCCAAGGCTGTAAAGTCTACATTACCTCCCCATCAGTGACTGATGGATAGCAACCGAGAGCTTAACCACTGCCCCACTGGGGCCCCTGTTGGACTACAAGATTTAAAGTATATAAAATGTATCATTGAATAAGTGAATTTAGGACTACTTAGGTTTCTCTTAAAGAAAATTAAATCTGAGAAGTTTTTCCATGGCATAAATTACAAAATAATTCAGTTCATTTAAATCTTTGTGAAAAATAGGATTAATTTATGAAATTTTAAAGGCATCTTTGAAAGGGTCATGCCTATGTGAAGACTGGTATTCTTCTGGACTTTTGTTGTTAAAACATGTCAGACTACAAAAATTTAGTCTAAGGCTTAAAACTTGTAAAACTCTGTGAAAGTAGCAATTAAACCTTTTTTACCTTAAAAGTGAGGTAAACACACCTTAGTTTGATTTTTCTATTGCTTTTTGTTTTCCCAGCTGTGAAGCACAGGAGTGAATGAGTGCATAATGATCATAATAAGGCACACAAGTGGATATAGAGAATACAGGGGCGGGGGGGCAGAGATAGGAAGGGACAGCGGGGTTGGGGAGTAAATAATAAAGACAGGAGGAGCAAGCACTAGAACAGATTGTGATTGCATAAATCATCTTAAAGGCGATTTAGCCATGAGAGGGGGAATGTTCTGAAATTGATGTGGGGTGATTGTCCAATTCTCTGTGATATGATTGAATGATTAAACTACTGAATTATGATATGTAAATTACTTGCAAATAAAATGGGAGAAAAGTGAGGTTAAACAAATTTCTTACTAAATACTTATCTGAATTTTTAAAAATTATACTTACTAAAAAAGAGTATACTTACTAACTGATCAATAGCATTTAACAAACGCAAATGAATAAGTTAGTCATCAAAATAGAAGTTTAATGATTTTTAATGTTCTGGCATAATTCAGAGTAACAAATTATAATTTCCTCCTCCTTTTCCCCCCTGCCCCAGGAAAGGTGCTCAAAGATTCGATGTGCTTGGTTATTGGTATTCTTAGCAGGATCGTCTCTTCTTTTGTATTACACCTTTCATTCTCAGTCACTTTATTACAGGTAATTCTAGTCTTACATATACAATTACTTTTTAATGTAATTATATATCCCATAGCACTTTGTATAGATCTTATCTTACACATAATACTTGTCTCCCTGCAAGTTTGAGAGCTAAGTGTTTTAGTTCAGATTCGTTCCCCAATGCCTTAACAATCATCAGATACTTAATAGTTTTTTATTAGAATAGAGCTGACTGATGAGACTGACCAGGAAATATATAGAGGGCCCAGAATTGGAGTTAGCCCAAATTAAAGATATGCCCCAGGAGGAACAGCAAAGACTAAAATGGACCAATCACCTGGTGGGGTTTGATCAAGTGCAGTGTAACTGAGAGGAAGTACAGGGAGTCAAATGAAGGTCGAACACAATAGTGAGACAGGAGGAAAGTAAAAGGAAATAGAGGAAAAGAACCAAGAGGCAAAAGACATTTATAGAGGTATAAACAGGAATGTATATATGTAAATATATTAATATGTAATGATAGGGACATAGATATATATTTATAGGCTAAGTGTTAAGGTAGCAGATGGACATTGGGTCTCTACTCAAGTCCTCTCTCAAAGCAAGAACACTTTGTTCTAATAACCTGGCATTCTGTGATGCTCACCTTCCCGACACGATCACTGAAGACAAAATGGGTACATGAGCTAATGAATTTGGTAAAGAAAGCTGATGGTACCTGGCTATTGCAAGATATAGCATCTGGAATCTTAAAGGCTTGAAGTTAAATAAGCAGCCAGCTAGCTCAGAAGCAACAAAGCCCACATGGAAGAAGCACATCAGCCTGTGTGATCACGAGGTGTCGATGGAATTGGGTATCGGGCATCAGAAGACACAAAACAAAAATCATTTCAATGCAAACAAGGGAGGTTGGAATGGAGACCCAAAGCCCATCTGTAAACAATTAGACATCCCCTCATAAAAGGGTCACAAGAAAGGGACGAGCCAGCCAGGGTACACACAACATTCCTCTAGTTCTTTAACGCTTCCTTCCCCCCACTATCATGACCCCAGTTACAAATCTGGCTATACCAGAGTATGTACACTGGTATAGATATGAGCTCTCAACACACAGAATCCAGGACAGATAAACCCCTATATGGACCAATATGAGCAGTGATACCATGAGGGTGAGGGGAGAAAAGGGGAATCGATCGCAATGATTGATTTATAACACCCACACCCACCTTGGACAAACAACAGAAATGTGGGTGAAGGGAGACAGCGGATAGTATAAAATATGAAAATAAAAATAAGTTCTAAATTATCAAGGGTTATGAGTGGAGGAGGGGAAAAAAGAGCTGGTACCAAGGAGAAAGAAAATGTTCTAGAAATGATGGCAACATATGTACAAGTGTGCTTGATATAACTGATGTATGGTTATAAGAGCTGTAAGAGCCCCCAATAATTTTTTTTTAATGCCATCAGTGGCATACAAGAACTGGGAAATAATGTAGTGTCAGAAGTCTAGAAAATACATTAAGGGAAGATGGAAAAAGCGGACTTTTGAAATTAATGCAGAGTTGGCAACCTTGACAAAAGCAATTCAATAGAAAAGAGGGAACAGAATCCTTGTTGGGCTTGGATGAGGAGACAATAGCAGAGCCCAGTATGTTTTTCGATAATAGGATAGAAAACTATGAACACACCACTTCATGTTACTTTTCTTTAGGAATGATTTGAAATTCAATGACTTAAAAAGTTAAAGTAACCTCTCATACCATTTACTTGAACTGACTTTGTCTTGCCCTCATCGTAGTTTTTACATATCAAATTGAAGTAAAATATGCAGTAGCAAATTAAAAATTCCTATTCTTTCTTCACCTTTATATGTTACTTTGGTAAATTTTGATGTTTTTCTCTTGGTAGCTTAATTTTTTTAAAACCTACTTTGGACCATTTGAGCTTCTGGGAAATACTTTGGATTGTTGGGATTACAGATTTCATTCTGAAATTCATTGGCATGGGTTTAAAATGCCTCCTTTTACTAGTGCCTTCTTTCATTGTGCCTTTTAAATCCAAGGTAAGCAACTAACTTGTTTATTGGAACAATGTTACCCAAACTATTTGGTTTTGCTTTAAAATGACTCCTTTGATAATTTTTCAGTTGCTAAATAATTTTAATTATGTCAGACTAGTGACCATTTGCCAAAGACTTGAAACTAAATATTAACCTCTAAACAAGGAAGCTTGTAGAAAAATGTAAAGAATGGAATTTCTCCACAAACTTTTGAAGCCCTATTATATTATATTTGCTTCAAAATAACCTAAAAGCCAATCCCTATGTGGAAAAAAAAATTTAATTTGCTCTTCTCCAGGGTATTGTCAGTTAGTAATTGATATCTGCATATGTTTATTCGTTGTCTTCACTTAACAATACAAATTTTAATACCAAGTTTTCTGATCAGCAAAATATACGTTTTTTATTTGTAAGATGCATAAAACATTTTCAGTTTTTCTTTGGAAATTCTTCAATGGTTAACGCTCAGTGACTGTAATATGTAAGAACCAGATTGAAGCTAATGATAGGATGTGTTCGGGCCAATATGAGATATTTATGCTGTGTTTGTAAGTAACTTGGGTAGCTTTTTTTTTTCTTCCTTTTTTAGGGTTTTTGGTATATGCTTTTGGAAGAATTATGTCAATATTACCGAACCTTTGTTCCCATACCAGTTTGGTTTCGTTACCTTGTAAGCTATGGGGAGTTTGGCAATTTAACTAGCCGGAGTCTTGGAATATTGCTGGCTTTATTTTACCTCATACTGAAAGTAGGTATCATTAAAAATCTCCTTGTGATTACATAATGATTCATATTAGATTTTATATGCTACTTTATCCTTTCTTAGTTTTATAGTTTATTTTATATTCATATTAGTTAGAAGTAATGACAAGTTTATTTAAAATTTGAAAAGTGGAAATCTGTTCCTAGAGTTTCTGTTTTCAATGGCATGGAAGAGGCAAGACCTTCATATAGCAAAGAATCTAAAGGGGGAAACAGGTAGAACTGAAAATATCCATTAGCAAAGTAACGTTAGTCATATACAGTCATTCTCAAATGAGCATAGTCTGTTGCCTGCCCTTTGTCCTCTTAAACATAATAATCACTTTGCAATACTTTAAATATGTTAAGAACTTGTAAACCAGCTAAATTTGCTTTAATCTTCTCTTGATCTTTGTCGTAATTGAGTTAAATTTATATTTATCTTAGTAAGATTTCTAACTCTAGCTATTCAGATGTACTTCAGCATGTTTGGCTTAACCTATACATTGAGTGAAATACTCAGCATCGTTAGGTGACATCAAATCAGCTCCAACTCCTAGAGACCCTACATTCAGTCGATTTAAACATAATGAAAACGGATTAACTACTGTGGTACACAATGAGCACTGGTTTAAGTACAAGATTTTATATTATGAAGTTTCAACTTTGATCTTTGAGCATAGCAGAGAAGGGTCCTTAAATTAATCATCTCTTTTATTCCCTCTTTCAGCTTTTGGATTTTTTTAGACACCTGAGAACTTTCAGACAGGTTTTACGAATATTTTTTACACGACCAGTAAGTATTTTTTAATGTTAAGGAAAAACACTTTTATTGTACTTGATTATAAACATTTTTTTAGTTTGACAATTTTAGAAGTATGCATTTCAAAATTAGGTGATCTTTTGAGATTAGTATTTTCTAATATTTTATTTAACATTTGGAGCTATGATAATCACTGGAGAATTTTATTTCCTGATAAGTTTCTTAAACTTCCTAGAGACGCCAATTTAATGGTTTCATTGCTTGGATATCTTAAATGTACTTCTTGCCCTTTTAATCACTTGGGTTTTTGTGTGGTGTTTTTTCCCCATCATTTTATTAGGGCCTCGTACAGCCCTTATCACAATCCATATAGTGTCAAGCACACACTTGTACATATGTTGCCATGATCATTTTCAAAGTATTTTCTTTCTACATGAGCCCTTA